TTGAGTGTGTTTCTGTTTCTCAACATGTACTGAACAATAATCCAAGTGATAATTTTGATTCTGGTACCTATCTTAGTGACATAGATTGGCATGTTGAGCAGTCGAAGGATAGTTCTACTTCTAGAGTCCTTGATATTGTGAAAGCCAGTCATAAGTTGACAAGGCGCCAAAACGCCTTAGAACCCAAAAGTAAGACAGTACTTACGGGAATGGCCTTCTCTGTTTGTCAAAGATGACAATTTGTATATAAATGGTTTTGTTAATGGGCACCCTGTTATACAGCTTGTTGTTCCAAGTGTTTTTTTATGACATCATATTCTCTGGACTTCATGATGAAGCAGGCCACCAGGGCCGGGATCTAACCACATCTTTGATAAAATCTAGGTTCTTTTGGCCAGGTTGAGATAAGTTTGTTGATCAGCGTGTGCATGGATGTCCAAGGTGTATTCATCGCAAGTCATCTACTGGTTTAGGTGGATATGAGAATATCCTGGTGATAACAGACCACTTCACCAGGTTTGCACAGGCAATTCCCACAGGTAAATTATAGGAATTTACTCCTACCATTTCTAGGACTCCCACTCAACAGTCCAAAGGAGAATATTTCCTCCAATGAATCTTGCAATCCCCTTAACAGGTCTGTGAGTTCATCAAATATTACAAAATTTGATTTGCCCTCTTTAAGTTCTTCCACTTAGAAGTATGTTCAAAACCCATGGAAGTCTTCTTTAAATCCCAGTGCTGAACCATTTTATCCAAATCGTCTTACCCTTTTCAAGAAAAAACCTGCATGGCTGTCATCCACTGATTGGATAACTTCATTATATTGCTGAAATTAAGTTATAACACTGTTTGATATAATGTTTCTATTAATGTTGATAAAAGTTTATTATCTGTTTATGTTTGCTGATAACATTTGAACATATTTGATGAATTCATGTTTTCTATTATTTCCAGGTACGCATAAGTGCAGGTGTGACTGTATGTTATATATGGTAATCTGTTTTTAGGTGTACTTTAAGATAAATCAGCCAATATGTTGTTGAACAGTACACATGTGTTTTGTTTCAGATGTGAAGTTCTTGATACACCAGTACACTTAACAAAAGTTCTAACCGATCACTTTTTAAATTTTGATTATTTTATAACGGGTCAATAGATCCTTATAAAATTTTGCAGAGGTGATTTTTGTGTCATTTTCTACCGATTTGTGGAATGAAACATAATTAAATACGGTTCCATGCACTCACGCGGGAGACAGGGCGCGGTTTACACATTTTGGCACGAAATGTTCGTGCAGAGCGTGGTGAGTATTAAATTTTACATTGCATAAATCCTTGTTAACTTTATAAGTGAAAAAACATAAAACATGGCACGAATGTCGATGCAGGATCGTGCCATAGCAGTTGGAATGTTGAATGCTGGAGCCTCTATCAGACAGGTGGCTGTTCATAAAAATATTTATTTTTTTAAATATCAATAATATCAATACAGTATTATCTAAATAGAAAAATGTTATAGTTTTATTATTCTCAATATGTTCATTCTCTTCGAAATAAAATAAAAGTCGGATCTATTGGTATTATTCTTTTTCATATATAAGCGAAAACTCAGGGTGATCGGTTAGAACTTTTGTTCAGTGTAGAATATTTGGATTCTTATGCGCAGATAGTTGCTTTCAAACATTTTGTGCCACAATAATACGTTATAGATTAATGTTTGTCATAATAGAACATATAAATAATCAAAAGATTGGATTATAATAAGCAATTATGATTGAATCTAAATAATTTCATGAGTATATTACACCTGATACTCAAACTGAATCTGTCTTGATATCGAGAGAGCAAGGTGGTTCATTTACTATTGGTTACTGTAGTGTTATTACCAGTTACATAGTTATGTAGTATTTTAAGTAGTTTTCCAACAGGTATAGTATTTCTGAAGTAGTGCCATGGATACAGCTGCATAGTTTGCAGTTTGTGTTTGAAATGTCAGGACAACATTTTTCCTGTGAGGGGAACAAGGATGTCACAGGTTCATATGCGTACATGTATACATGTGTTATTGTTAGTCATTGAAATTGCATTAGTTGTATAAGAGAAGTAGGTCCGGACAAACTTTAAAAAAAAGAAAATTATTGAAGGGCCATAACTCTTACAAAAATCATTGAACCGGAAAATGCTGACAATATGCACAACTAGACTTGGTACTGATCATTCCTGTAAAGTTTGGATGAAATTGCACCAATAGTTTATGAGGAGTAGTCTGGACAAGTTTTGTGACGGACGGACAGACAGACAGTGTACAACTAGACTTGGTACTAATCATTCCTGTAAAGTTTGGATAAAATTGCACCAGTAGTTTATGAGGAGTAGTCCGGACAAGCTTTTGTGTATCTGGCAACACACAGAAAAAGACACCTTTTTATCAAAGGGCCATAACTCGGCCAAAATCATTCAACCGGAAAACCCGTGCAATATGCGCAAGGACTTGAGCTAAAGTTTCATTGAAATTGCATTAGTGGAATAAGAGAAGTAGTCCGGACAAACTTTAAAAATAAAAATTATGAAAGGGCCATAACTCTTACAAAAATCATTGAACCGGAAAATGCTGACAATATGCACAACTAGACTTGGTACTGATCATTCCTGTAAAGTGTGGATGAAATTGCACCAGTAGTTTATGAGGAGTAGTCCAGACAAGTTTTGTGACAGATGGACGTTCTGACGGACGGACAGACGGATGTTCTCACAGGACAGTAATTATGTAGCTACTCTATTGTTCTCTCTATTGTTCTTTTTAGCCACACAAAAGAAAATAGCCACATGAAAGCATTACACAATGAATGACATCAAAGCCTTCCGACTTCCCTTCGCGGCGTGCACGTCGCTCGGAAGGCATAGGTCACACCAGATGGGTGACCTAGTTAGGTCACTTAGCTGGCGTGACCTAACCAACGGCGAGGGGTGTGGCCCTAAAGAGAGCTGCTGCTCCCGGAAGAGGTGCCTTTCCTCTATTGTCAACCATTGTTCAACAAGCGAGGAATTGGGTCCTAGAGAAGGTCTACGACGAACGACAGCATGAAAAGACCTCTGTCGCGGCTCGACGACGTCGACGACGTTGCAGGCGAATAAGTCCTCCCTTGCAGGCTCTACGACCAGCAATCGTAATAGAGGCCGACTAGTCTGGGACATATGGGAAACCGGCGCCCAGTATAAATAAAACCTAAAACAACAAAAAATGACATCAAAGAGAAAGAACAGTTACATATTGTCCCTCTAGCAACATAATTACTGTCCTGTGAGTGCGGACGGACAGACGGACGGAGAGGTGATCCCTATATGTCTCCACTACTCCGTAGAGGCGACACAAAAATATTTGAATGCGCATAATTTGTGTATTTATAGGTTAATTGGTAGATTGTTTTAATGCCCTGATTCATACTTTCTATTTTGTCATTCATCATTTTCATTGATATTTTGCATTCTGCACTATTTTGAAAGATTTTGTTGGCCCAAGAGTTAATTCATTGTTTTAAAAAATTTTGAAAGAGCAAATTGTGTTTTAAGCCGCGGTAAAGGTTTTCCAAACCCGGTCAATTGAATCCTTTCATTTGGCTTCGACAATTTTTCCAACTGGGACACTTATGTAATTTATTCACATTCCGTAACTGTAAATAGTAAGATACTGGAAAAGTTATTACCCTACCCCGTTTTATGTTATAAGGTTTATTTTTCTCACAAAAAATATGTGAATTTTTGCATGGGGAAAGATTTGCGAAAATGATTTCTGGAATTTAATACAGTTTTTGTGATACCAATAATTAAGCAGGTACATGTTAAAAATATGCTGCTATTGTAATTGTTCTATTCAGTTGTTTAATACCTTTATTGTTCATATAATTGTTTGAAATATACATTGTCAGTTTGATAAAGGACCTGATCACACATTTCTTTGTCATATTTTGAAACATTCTTTTGTTATTTTGAATAACCTATTGTGTTATTAATACATATATTGTTTCATTAAAACAATCACAAATTTTGTGATTTCTTAAGACCAAACTTTAAACAAACAAGCAACGAGAAAAATAAATCTCAGAACCTGAACAGTCAAACTTATTCATGTAAGCTGCTGTATGAACAAGAGCGATCAGTAATCACATGTGTCGCCTCATAATGGCCAATTTCATGTTGGGACAAATTTTGTGACAGACGGACAGTGCACAACTAGACTTGGTACTGATCATTCCTGTAAAGTTTGGATAAAATTGCACCAGTAGTTAAAGTAGTAAAAATTATGAAAGGGCCATAACTCTGACAAAAATCATTGAACCGGAAAATGCTGACAATATGCACAATTAAACTTGGTACTGATTATTCCTGTAAAGTTTGGATGAAATTGCACCAGTAGTTTATGAGGAGTAGTCCGGACAAGCTTTTGTGTATCTGGCAACACACAGAAAAAAAACACCTTTTAATCAAAGGGCCATAACTCGGCCAAAAATCATTCAACCGGAAAACCCGTGCAATATGCGCAAGGACTTGAGCTACAGATCAATCCTGTAAAGTTTCATTGAAATTGCATTAGTGGTATAAGAGAAGTAGTCCGGACAAACTTTAAAATTAAAAATTATTAAAGGGCCATAACTCTGACAAAAATCATTGAACCGGAAAATGCTGACAATATGCACAACTAGACTTGGTACTGATCATTCCTGTAGAGTTTGGATGAAATTGCACCAGCAGTTTATGAGGAGTAGTCCGGACAAGTTTTGTGACGGACGGACGGACAGACAGACAGACGGACAGACAGACGACGGAGAAGTGATCCCTATATGTCGCCACTACTCCGTAGAGGCGACACAAATATGTGTTTAAGAAAGTTCGTCTACAAAGAAATCATCTTTGCGCAATCAAATGTTTGCAAATGTTTTCAATTCGCAAATATCGCAAATATTTCCATGTTGCAAAAGTAACTACTTATGCAGTACTTACCAAGTCAAAGATGCTTGGCCTGGCCTGGTTCCCAATGTGTAGCAAATCCTTGAATCCTTTTGTTATAGCTAGAGCCATTCTAGTGCCCTTTCTCTCTAACAATGCATTGGTAGCTACAGTTGTTCCCATTCGTATCCACTCTATATTGGACACATCAATAGGCACATCTGATGCAAATCTATTTCCAGTTTCCTGACAAGTAAAATGGTTTCCTGCGGTGAACATTTTAATGATATAAAGATATTTCATTTAACTATTTTCAACATTTTTTGGGGGGAATAAATAAACATTTGTATTAGGAATATAGTTGACAATTGAATAAACAATCAATATAGAAGAAGGTCTTTGGAAACTGGTGACCGTTGAAGACCGGAGAAGGTTGAACATAAAACAATTATTTCTTTTTAAGAAAATGCATAAACAGGGCTGGGAATCAAAACTGCGTCGTATCCTACAAAATGTAAACGAACGCCGCCATCTTGGAGCGAAAAATGTATGTTTTAATTATATACTCGTTTTCAGAGTTCACCATAAACTTCCGAACATAATTTTGGATCATTTACTAAACTTTCATTAAAAAGACTGCATTTTGGTAAACTATTTAAATTATGTGCTAGGTATGCTAATAACGTCCAACAACATTTCTTGTTTACGACTTAAGTCAAATGCAGAGGTCACTCATTGGTTTCATAAAAATGGAAATGTAATACAATTCTATTAAGGCTGCGTTTTTCGGTCGCATTTTATTACCTATCATAAGCATCTACAAATTCCAAAAAGCTGTATCAAATGCAATATACCGGTACATTGAAACACGTGATCGCACAACCATATGACAACGTTTTCTAGTGTTGCCTTAGCATGCTTATAAACTTGTTCCCATGAGTTCGAAATGGGAGTGATTACTATTTTTGATACAAAATTCAATATTCCAGTGTAACCTCTCCTGGACCCTGTATTAATCAGGAATGACCTTTTTTTTAAAAAAAGGAAAGAAATTCAAATTTTGAAAAGGTCTCTCGCTATCGGGAGAGAGCTAGCCTACCTTTGTTACTTGTAATTAGCAATAATTTCCGTCAATTCCGTTATTAGTTTATTACTTATGTCTTTTACGTGCCGATTTTATTGTATTCATTTTCTTAATAATCGGTGAGGACAGATGAGATTGATTATTTGAAACTGAACATTAAATTTTTAAAATCATATTATAAATGGTTAAGCTACAATATATTTTTCCAATTATTATCATTCTTTTCCATCAAAAACTTTAAATTTTCAAAATCGAGTTACATATATGATACAACTACAAATTATTTTGTAAAGAAGTTGTCCGTTTTGCAAAGGTATTTTTACGCTGTGCACCGATAAATTTGATACAGATATAGGCAGACATGATCTTACAACAGTATTGAAGAAGTACAGAAAATTTAGACTAGACTAGAGGCATGACATCTTAACATACCTTCATACTAAAGTGTGATTTTTATTTGATAATGAATTGCCTGAAAACTTAAGCAAAAGTTTTCAGAAAATGACTTCACGGAGGATTACCCCCTGTTTACATTGGAAATTTCTCTGTTAGTCATACCGAAATAAGAAGTTTAAATGTTATTCTCTTTATAATTAATTCAAATATTTATAATCTTAAAACTTCACACCAGAAGTTAATAAAACAAAGCTGTACGTACAGGACAGCAAATTTTTTGCTCGACTATTCTTAGTGCTTTTATTTATAGTTTAAAGGAGCCCTTTGAACAATGTTGAAATTTTTTAAACCACAAAAGGCCTTTTTTTTTTCCATATAAATTCAATGTTTCATAGGCCTTAGATGAAGAGTTTTTGCCTAAATAATGCAGTATTTGGCTTGACCTATTCAGAAGGTAATGTCACAAGGGTGATTGAGAAATAAAAACTAAATTACCTCAGAACATGAAGAATACATAAATTTTGACAGAAAAAGGTTCAAAGGTTGTTTTAATTTTTTTCAGAAACAGATTATTTTAAAATTTGAACATAAAGGAAAAAAGGAAAAATTTCAGTATTATTAAGTAACAGTTCAAGTTAACAAAACCCTTACATGAATTTCAATTTTAAGTTAAAAGGCGGAAAGAAAAATCAAAACAATAAATGCTATAAAATGGATCTTTGTTACCTAACCAATTATTACCTAAAAAAGAAAAGTGAAATTATTTAAATAAAGAAAATCCCAATGCGAAATTTTAATGTTTCAGCAAATTTTCAAAACTTTTCTTGAACATTTGTTTTTAATTGAATTTTAGGAGCGAATTTAAATGGCTTTTTAATTATTTCAAAAAAAAATTTAATTGGCGAAAATTTTTAAAATTTGTTCATTCGCCTTTTTTTTCCCCCAAAGTTTAGAAAATAAACAAGGGAAAATATTGCTTAATTTTTGGTTTTCGTCTTCCCTTTCCCCTTTTTTCGTTCCAAAATGGCGGCGTTTGTTTACATTTTATAGGATACGACGCAGTTTTGATTCCCAGCCCTGATAAATAGGCCTACCATTTTATGAATAATTCCGAGCAAAAAATAAATAAAGTAAACACACAAGTTTACGCAGAAAATATCTCTATTTATTATGGCAGATGCCACTACGAATATTTTAATTTTGTAGATTTTCAGTATAAACAATTTGTTAAATTTGATAGATATTAAAGAAACATTGATAATTTTCAAACACTACATTCAAGTTTTTCCACCTTAAACGGTAAAATAATTATAGAAAATTAGAAATATCCCGTAATAGTTTTTTGTTCTTAATTAGGTGTAATTCGGACTAATTCCCTACATGTAAATCTGTAACGTACCGGCAAACGGTATTTAGCTAGGTTTTCGAAAAGGTCTATTAACCAATCATGTACAGTTTACAGATCACATGCTCCTCCATGTACCGAAAACAGGTCACGTGCTCCACCATGCCTCAAAAGTTAAACGCGTACCAATACGGTCTCCAGACCGCAGGGAATAATATAATTCATTTAGTTGCAATATTAAAATCTTTAAAAAAGAGGACCATTATGGCCCTTATAATCGCTCACCTTATTATTGATGCTCTTAATACTATTAGCAATGATTGAAAGACAGATAAATGCCATTAACTTAAACTGATATAACATTCATATCTGAAATAGTGCAAATGTTAATAAGGTTTTTTTCATATATGCCTTTTTATGTGCTGTGATGTTAAGGAACATATATTTGAAGTTTGAAGTGGATACATTAAGAAATAAAGAAGTTGCAGTAAAAAAAAAAATTAATGAATAAAGAAGTTGCAGTAAAAAAATAAATATTTTTAATGAAAAATCTTAATCCAATGGAAGTTTTGCCAGAGTTATCAACCTTGTCACATAAGATGTGGTTGATGATAAGGAAAAGCATTATGATTTGAAGTTTGAAGTTGATGCTTTAAGAAAAAAAAATGTATATGTAAAAAATATTTTACTGTAAAATTACTGCATAAAAATCTTAAACTGAAATCAGGACACAGACGCTGGGTGAGGACAAGTCTCAATATATATGTCATATAGATAGCTGCATATGAAAAAAAAAAATGTTCTTTGTATCTGATTTATTTAATAACAATGATTTATGATGTTATAGTCTGGAAAAAAAACTGGATACCTACGTACATGTAGCCTGGAACAGTATTTCACTGTTGCAGCTGTTTATACTGCATAAAATACTTTTTTTGGCATGGACTGCATAATTCAGTTGTAATATTAACATAAATCATTTAAACTTTATATTATTTATTTATTTTTTTGGTCTACAAACCAAAATTTTCTTCAAAAAATATTTTCTAAAACAGGTTGGGGGGCGTCCGTGGCCGAGTGGTTATGGTCTTTGACTTCAAACCACTTGCCCCTCACCGCTGTGGGTTCGAATCCCGACAGGGACTTTGGATTTTTTCATGTGAGGAAGCTATTCAGCTAGCTTACGTAAAGTCGGTGGTTCTACTCAGGTGCCCGTTCGTGCCTGAAATTATGCCCGGAAGGGCACCTGAGGTCTTCCTCCACCAGTAAAGCTGGAACGTCGCAATATGACCTGCACTGTGTCGATGTGGCATAAAACCTAAAACAAACAAAACAAACAAAAACAGGTTGGATAACTTTTTGGTGGTCCCTTCCTATAAAATTGCATGACCCGCTTTTGGACAACTCGGTGCAATTCATTTGAATAGCGCTATCAAAATAATTCCTCAAGTTTTTTTTAAACGGTTGGTGTTGCAGGTAGATAACATATTGGGCATCAAATATCTACCAGCTGTGATCCAATATCTTTCGAGTTTTTATGATAAATAAGGCAAATATTGCAAATTTGCGTTGTCAAAGGCATTAAAATTTCACGAGAAACGGAAACGCTTGGTTAATCATCTGAGTGAATCTGATATGAATTACACGGATGTTTACATTTTTTTTCCGCTGTCAAGTAGCTAACATCCTAATGCACATGCCTGTTAGGTAAAAACATTTTTAAGCTCAAAACTGAATATTTCGTTAAATTACTGACTGATCTGTTATTGGCTATGATCCGCTATTGGCTAAAAATGCTACGACGGATGGACGGAAAGACCCCAGGGGTATAACATAATATAAGCAATTTTTTTAGGGCATATAATTAATGTACTCAATATTAGTGATCATCCTATGAAGTTTGACAGTTGTAAAACTGTTAACAATATCACGGATTTATATTTCAAGGATCGGACACTATCGTTTAGCTTAAAATCTCGTCGCGCGGTGCGTGGAATAGCACTTTGTATAAAGGTGGATGGCAACGCGCCGAATGCGAAATATGACAGATTTTCACAAGAGTATGTGGTGTTATTGCAGCTTTGTGAAAAATTACACACATATGAATGTATTGATACAGTATTATTTTGCATTGCTAAAGTATTAATATATGAAAATATGCTGATAGAAGGCTGCAACGCTGAGTTAAACTAGAAATGTGTCCATAGGACAAGGATGCCCCCACACGCCACTGTTCTGTCAATCTTATGACTCTAGGTCAAATATTTTTTGGACTACATGTGCCACAAGTTGAAAACTAAAAATCAACAAAGGGCCATAATTCTGTTAAATTTGGTTGCAGCAAAAATTCCTTCCTTTACTACCATCTACACATTAAGGTTGTTAATCCCTGGAAGTTTAAGCAAAATCTGCCATCTGGTT